AAAAAAGCTTGACTTTGACTTAACAAAAATCTTTCGTCTTTCCGCTCCTCCCTCCTCCTTTCCATCCGTCGTCTCTTTTAACAGACTTTTTTAAGTCAACAATACAAACAACGGCAACAACTCGCTTGGCTAACTCAGCCTAACCTAACTTAATCTAATCTTAAACTTACTAACATCTAACAAGACTCTAAACTACCGAGTACACCGTAAAATAATTAAAGTTCCGTTCAATTTGTTGATTCCCTTTTGCTCTTTTTGCTGCTTTTTTCCCCTTTCTTATTTTTTGCATGCGAAATTCATCAGATTGAAAAAAAAAATTGTTTTTCCGCTTAAGAATTGCTTTGTAAAAAAAATCAAAATGAATAGTCGAAGAAGAAGAAGAAGAAGAAGAGGACAATAAAAACCACATATATTTTTTGAAGAAGTTTTTTTTGTTTCAAACGGATTAAAAATGATAATTTGTTTGCTGTAAACGCAAGTTTTAAAACAAAAAGTTGACTGAGCCTTATTGCCACAAACAGATCACTAAGTATTACATAGTCTTAAGTTCATCTTCAGCTTCTGTTTCTGTTATACTAAACTTTTTTTTTTTTGCTCCCCTCCACTCCCGCTACTAAATAGTTTTTTGGTTTCCTGTTTTCTATACCTCTATTTTCTTCAACCTTTCTTTTTTAATTTTTTGTCTTTTGCTTCCTTTTTTTTCGGCATTTTTACATTTTGAAATTTACAGATTTTTTTTTAGATATTTTGAATTGTTGACAATAAAATATGTACACTTTCTAAAGCCTCTTAAACGCTTTTTGGTTTCCGTTTGATTTTCTTCCAATACAGCAGCAACAGCAAAAACAGCGCTGTAGCAGCAATAGAAGTCAAACAACAACAACGACAACGACAACGATGGCGACAAAAAATTCTTGACATCTGAATAGCGCAAAATCGTAGATTACTGCGGAAAAAGAATTTTTTTTTTGGTAACATTAGCAAAACAAATTTGAACAGCTAACGGGGCATCAGACTAACAACGTCTTCTGCTAAAACTGAAAACCAACAATGTTGGCTCAGAAAATAAGCATAAAAAAAAAGAAGAAGGAAAATTGGAAAATCAACATTACTTATATTCTGTCCCTCTTATTTTTCCTTCCTTCCTTATTTTTTTCTTTGTACAGATGTCGCCTCCTAAATAAAACTGACTTTTTTCTCAAAATTTTCCAATTTTTTTATCCGTTATTTTCTGCTAACAAAAACTCAAATAAACTGCAAAAGACAGTCATACAAAACAGTTGGAACAAAAGAAGATAATAACGGTTTTTTATGGCAACTTTGCCTTCCTTTTTTTTTTTCGTCTTCTAACAGTTATTGCTGTTGTTTTACAAGTGTCATCAATGAAAGTCAAAAAGTTAATTTGATGCTAAATAAATAGCAAAAAAAAAAAAAAAAAAA